TATTTTGTTTTGGGAACAAATTCCGCAACTGTTTTCTTTAAAAGATTACTCTTATTTTATAAAACAAAGCATAAACAAATCAGTCTTTTCTGGCCGTGAAAATGGGGATGTCACAACTTCCTTGCTACACAAAACTTTTACCTTCCTTTCCATAAATTTCAAGAAAATTTTAAACTTTTTCAAACTAACCAAAAAATCATAATTGTTTATAATGTAGCTTTCAAAACATGTTTAATATCATATTTTTTTCCCAAACTTCTGATCCAAGGTCCACATGCATACTAGGGTTGGAATGCCAACACGTCCAATGAACCATCAAGTTGGAATACCCTAAGACACTCAACCATCGGGTTCGAATGCCAACATACTATGGGTCCAATCATCCTCGGGATGGAATACCCTAGGCCCTCAACACCATCAGGCTGGAATACCCCGGCCTGTTGGCTTACACATAAAGTAGTGAAGCCTCAGCCACCAACTAACAAGTACATACATAACATATAAGCATACAATTAACCAGCCAATAAACAAACAGACATATCCTATAGATCAATAAGCATAGCATCATCCTATCTACTAGGATGCAGATCTGACAAATCACTATAACATAACAACTTATTATCTACTAGGATACCGATCTAACAGATCACAACAGCACAATAGCATAATTACAGGATATCAATCCAATGGATCGGCATTGGTGCCTTCAACCCGCAACTATAGTGAGGAAAACTCACATCGCAAACTGAATAGAACTGATGAGGCCCGACTTAGAATCTCAGCTCTCTACACGATACCTAATTCCCCCAAATGACCAATTTCCATAAGAACTCCAAAATACCCTCAATGTCAAACTTGGTCAAAGTCAAAGTCAACTGGTCAAAACCAATAAACCCACTGAGTCAACCCAGTCGAGTTGTAACATCCCAATTTTCAAGACCAAAAATTTCATTTTAATATAACGATTTAGAAAAAAGTTTATAATAAAACATCATCGAGTCACATCATTTCATAAAACCATAATCACATGTCTCAAGACCATATCATAAAAATAGTAACAATATCATAGTACATTCCTAAGAATCTCATATTGTGGAAATCCTGTGTGTGAGATGCGTTGCTACCATGCCAGCTCCTTCCCCTTCGAAAAAGAGGTACCTGAAAACAAAACTGAAAACTATAAGCATGAAGCTTAGTGAGTTCCCTTATCATATCACACACCATAAACTTATAAAGCATATCCCTCGGTATCTTTCAACCGGTATCTAACATGCATAACCGGAAGTTGGGCTTCCCTTCGGTATCTTTCAATCAATAGTTGGGAGATGACCTCCGCTTTGGTATCTTTCAACCGGTAACTGAGAAATACTTCACCCCTATCACTACCACATAATAACATATCATGAACATATAGCTAGGCATGCATAGGTACTTTCTACCCCTTCGATATCTTTCAACCGGTAATCAATGACTATTTTACCCCTACCACTACTAACACATATAGCATCCTAGCACATAAAGCGTACCAGATAGTGGCATACCAGATAATTATCACAAAGACAATCATCTAACTACAACTCCTACTTAGTGGGTCGGTATTGTGGCCTTAGACCCACTTCTACTGGAAGGTAACTCACCTCAATGTCGTGCAATAACTGAATTATCCTCGGTGCTGGGATCAACTCTTCTCAAAATCCTACACATAACAACCTTCCTTAATTACCATTTCATACACGTAACCTTTTCAAGAGTCAACTCAGGTCAACATCAAAGACAAGGTCAACACCTTGGTCAAAGTCAACTTTTGGTCAGAGTCAACATCTGGTTGACTCAACTCGTCGAGTTGGTCCACCAACTCATCGAGTTCCATGATCCACAAAATACTGGAACTTCGATCCTACTCGTCGAGTCTTTCAAGAAATCATTGATTTCTCCTTCATACAGAATCGGGACCTTTTGCTCATGACTCGACGAGTTCATCCTTGAACTTTTCGAGTCCTGTTTCATATTAGTTGGGACATTTAGTCCTTGACTCGCCGAGTTCTTTCTTGAACTCGTCGAGGTCTTCTTCATATCAGTCGGGACATTTTTCTTGAACGCGTTGAGTTCATCCTTGAACTCGTCGAGTTCTTTGATCTTCAAGTCCATATTCACATCCATCTTGTTGAGTCCTTTTCTAGACTCAACCATATTGCTCATAAAAGAAAAAGGTTGGGGAACCATGACCTAACTCGTCAAGTCCTATGAACGACTCGTTGAGTCCCCCCAAGTCCAAGTCCATAAAGTCGATTTCAGTCGGGCTTATTGCATCCAAATCATAGATCTGGCCTCTTAGGGTCGATATAACACGTAAAGTTACAAACTTTTACGTGCATGCATGGGTGTTATGAAGCTAGAACACTAAAACTAAGTCATAAAGGAGTTCTAATGCATGGGATAGGGCTATAGCTCAATAAAGGTGGCAACTTTAAGCTTGTTGAGCTCAAAAGTTCCTAGATATGAAGCCATTACTCTATTATGCACTCAAATCCCGAGAGTGACTTAGAAATCACCCAAAAATTACAATATGTAAGCCCTAAAGAACATATATCTATATGATGGAAAACCAAGGTTGAAGCTTTTTACCTCAAAAAAACTAGAAATACAACCAAAACTCTGGATCTACTGCCTTCTTCTTGGACCTCCAAGCCATTCCTTCCTTCTCCAAGCTTACAATCACTAAAATGACACAAAATAGCTCAAGAACACTCACCAACTGATTAGGGTTTCGAGTATAGGGTCTGAGGGTGATGGAGGCTGGAGTGGAGGCCATATAAGTTATTTAAATAGGACGCAAACCCTAAAATTTAGGGTTTCATTCGGACAAATCTACTCGTCAAGTATGGGCTTCCAACTCGCCGAGTAGACTCTTCCAGCCACGTTCAAGATTCGCCCCTACTCGACGATTTAGGGCCACCAACTCGTCGAGTCCCAATATAAAATGCAAAATTCATAAGTGAAATACATATTGGGAACCGGGCGTTACACGAGTCAACCCAGCCAAGTTAACTCAACATGGGTTGATCAATGCGAGTATGCGGGGCATACTCCGGAGGTACGTTCAGTGTACGCAAAGTTGCGCAGAAGACCACCATCTGGGTGGTTGAGCGAGTACGTGGGGCGTACTCCAAGCTACGCAGGGCGTAACCTCGTAACCCCATTTTGTTCATTATGTGCTTAATGGATTCATCACTAAAGCCCAAACTTCAGATCCAAGGTCCACATGCATACTAGGGTCATAAAGTTTCCAACTTTATGACTTTACACGTCCATAAAGTCCTTAACACAAGGTCTTAATCCATTAAGACCTTCCACAAGATGCATGGAGCAAAAATAGCTAAAGGGGCCTCATTTTTATGGCTAAGGATCCCTCCTAGGATCTGGAAGGATAGCTCAAAACAACAATAACCACTCATGCACAAAAATGGGACCTTTGGGATAAGAAGAACAACATAAGGATCCTAAAATGAGATCTAATCAAACAAGGCATCAAGGTGAAGAATTTTTACCTTATGGAGCTCCTTGGGAATGTAATAATCCAAGATCCACAAGCTTGCTTCAACTTCTAAGCTCCTTGATGCAACTCCTGCCTTAAGCACACGAAAAACATACTTTTTAGCTCAAACACACTCTTAAGGGACTAGGGTTTGCCAAGGAAGACTCAAAGGGTATAGAGGCTGGAAAGGTGGGGAGAAATGAGCCATAATGATGCTTATATACCACTTAATACCTAAAAATTAGGGTTTTCTCCTGACAAAAGTATGTCCAGCATACATAAGTGTACGACCAGCGTACTAGGGCGCGCCCTAGTGCGCTCAGCGTACTCTCATGTACGCTTGGCGTGCTCATCCTGCTTTAATTACTAGGGTGAGCAAACCCGAACCAAGAAACCGAGAAACCGACAAAAACCGACGAAACCGAAACCGAATCAAAATCGACGATGTGGGTTTTTAATTTGTAAAAACCCACTTTCCGGGTTCGGTTTCGGTTTTGCCCCCAGAAACCGACCCAACAACTCTAGAAACCGACCCCTCTTTAAAACCGAGAAACCGACCCAGCAATCCCGCAAAGCCGATGCTTTTTACTGATTATTTTACGTTTATATATATATATATATATATATATATATATATATATATATATATATATATATATATATATATATTAAAAAATAAAAATAAATAAAAGAAGCACAGGTCATTGACTCCCGTTTTTGTTTTGCCCTACTTGCCCTCGGTACTCAGTCTCACACTCACAGTCTCGCATTCGGCGTTCCCCATCGGCGCAGCCGCATCCCACTGAACTGATCAACTGAAGACGAGTAGACGACTGAAGAGTGAACCCCAAACTTTTGGCGGAACCCCAAACTTCCGGCGCCACCAATCCGAGGTTCGTTCCTCTGATTTCGTTTTTTTTTTCTAATTTCCCTTGTTGTGCTTATGTTCTGAAATTTGAATGTTGTGCTCATGTAGAATCACTAGAATGTAATGATGTGAGATGATGAACTAATACAGAGGCCATTTTTCAATGATTAGAATAAATATGTAGGCCATTTTTTCTGATTTCTGTTCTTTTTTGTGGATTTGTCAATTTGTCATTGAAGAATTATGGCGATTTGGCAATGTGTCTCTGATTTCATGACTTCGTTTTTTTCTGATTTGGGTTCGTGACTTCGTTCCAAGTATTTAAGAATTATGGAAATCTTGCTGAAATCTTATTACTCTTAGTATCTTATTATGTTTACTTGCTATCAAAATAATCAAGGGATTTTGGTAGATTTTGCCTGAAATCTTGCTCTGAAATGTTGATAAATATTGCTTAAATATTGTAATATTATTCTGAAAGCTGTGAATCTTATGGTTTGTTGTGAAATGTTGATGAATATTACTGAATTGAAGCTTCTTATTTCCTGAAATCTTTTGGTTTACATATGGATTGTTGATTGTTTTTTTTCTATGTAGATGGAAAGGTCTCAAGTAGATGCACAAACTGTTCATGTTGATGCTCCACAAACTGTTGATGTTGATCTTGATGTTGATGAAGGAGATGATGAAGAAGTTCCAAATAATAAGGGTGGTGGTCATAGAGTATCTTGTGTATGGCAACATTTTGATCGAGATGCCGTAAAGAAGGGTGCTAAGAAAGTGAAATGCCCATATTGTTCAACAATGATGTGTGCAAATTTAAAGAAAAATGGTACGAGTGCAATGGGAAATCATTTAAGACTCTATTGTTCAACATCTCCTGTTTACGACCCTAAAGGCAAAGTTGGTGATACGAAAAAACAATCTGTGTTGAGTTTCAAAAAAGTGGGAGACTCGAGGGCTACTTCTTTGGAAGTTCATTCATTCAGCCAAGAGAAATGTAGGAATTCCTTAGCCCGCATGTGTATTAAAGACAATCAACCTTTTAGTATAGTTAAAGATGAAGGATTTAGGGAATATTCACGGGATTTGCAATCTCTATTTAAATTGCCTTCAAGGTGGACTGTTGCAAGGGATTGTTTGTAGATATACAAAGAAGAAATGTATAAATTGAAGGATGTTTTAAAAAACCAAACCGTCTCCATTACAACTGATACTTGGACATCCATCCAAAACATTAACTATAGTTGTTTAACGGTACATTGGGTTGATGAGACGTGGGTTTTGAGAAAGAAAATTCTGAACTTTTGTCCCATTGCAAATCACAAAGGTGTAACCATAGGAAAACTCGTTTATAAATGCTTACAGAATTGGGAAATTAAGAAGGTGTTTACAGTGACTGTGGATAATGCTTCCTCAAATGATGGGGTAATTAGGTATCTAGCGACCATGCTTAGGGGACCCTATGCTTTTTTGGATTGCAAATACTTGCATTTGAGGTGTTGTGCTCATATCATAAATCTTGTGGTTAGGGACAGGTTAGAAGAACATTTTAGTTCCATCACAAAGATCTGAAATGTTGTGAAGTATGTGAGGTCATCGGGTGCTAGGTTTGCTACATTCCTAGAATGTGTTGAGAAAGTGAAGATTAATTGTAGTAAGAAACCATCCCTTGATGTTGACACAAGATGGAATTCTACTTATTTGATGTTAGAGACGGCAGAAAAGTATGAGGCGGCGTTTGATAGGTATTTTATATACTATTAAGTATGATATATTAATTTCTTTTTTCATAATTTACATACTAATGTTTTTATTGAATTTTAATTTGTATTGTAGGCTTCTTGCGATTGATAGTGGTTTTAAAACTTTTTGCGGAAGTGAGGTTGATGATGGTGAGGTGACTACGAGAAAAAGAAGAAGAAATGAGAAAGTTTTAGGGACTCCCGATGCCGACGATTGGGAGGTTGCTATATATATATATATATATATATATATATATATATATATATATATATATATATATATACACTTCAATTGTGAAATCTAATATTATTTAATTGATTTGGTAGGTATTTTATCGAGTATTTGAGGATCTTTTACAATGTCACAAAAAAGATATCTGGGTCCAAGTATGTGACAGCAAATAAATTTTTTAAGGAATTTGTGATAGTGCAAGCAAGCATAACTAGAATATATGCAAGCACAGACGAGAAAAAGAAAATGATGGAAAAGTCGATGCAAGAAAAATACGACAAATATTGGGACAACATTGAGAGCATGAACTTCATGCTTCATGTTGCTGTCGTTTTAGATCCCCGCAACAAGATGTGTTATTTGGAGTATTGCTTGGAGTTGATTTATGGTAAGAATTCTACCAAAACAAAAACAATTCTAGAGCATGTCAACAAAACACTAGAAGACTTGTTTCAACACTTCAAGAGCAAGACGGAGAGAGAAAGATGTGAAAAGACAAGGAGTGCATCGTCTTCTACACCTAGTTATTTTGATTTTGGGCATGGAGTTGATATGGAAGACGATTTTGAAAGGTTTATGGAACAACGTGGGCATGGGGTTAATAAAATAGAGCTTGAGATTTATTTATCAGATGGGATGGAAAAGCGAGTGGAGGATTTCCAGATTTTGGGGTGGTGGAAATCTAATTCAACAAAGTTTCGTGTACTTTCTAAGGTAGAGAAACTTGTTTTAGGAATGCCAATCTCTACAGTTGCATCAGAGTCTGCATTCAGTACTGGTGGGAGGGTGATTGATGAAAGTAGAAGCTCCCTTACACATGTGACTGCCGAAGCTTTGATTTGCACACAAGATTGGATACGGGACACCCCAATTGAAATCTAGTTTAAAAATATGACGACTTTATATATGGAAGAGATGCGAGAGAAGTTGGTTCCAATAGAAACCAGTAAATATTTTACTATTTTTTACATAATTATAAGTTTTGTAATTATATATGTTTATAATTAATTAATTACATACTATTGTTTTATACGTTTGTGTTTGTAGAGGAATTGGGGTGTGGTCAAGGGAGTTGCATAGATAAGGATTTTACTTGAATTTTAAAGGTTTATAACTCAATTATTATAATTTTATACTTTTACACAAGTTTATTACTCAATAATCATTGATCAATACTAATGTTTTTTGGTTTGTAAATGAATGGGGAATTAGTGAAGAGATTTACATGGATGTGGATTGAAGATTTATGTTTGCGTGTTTTGGACTTTTGGTTGTAATCGACTATTTGACTATTCAGGACTTTATGTTTTAGTTTGATTGTGTGTTTAGTTGTAACCGTCTAATCGACAATTTCGAACTTTATGTTTTAGTTTGATTGTGTGCTTGGTTGTAATAGACAAGTTGGTTGTAAAACTCATGTTTTTTGAAGTATTTAACTTCAATTAGGTGTTTTTTTAATTATTTAACTAATTGTTACATTTATGGAAAATGGGTTCAAACCCAAAACCCATGGGTTTAAACCCAGAAACCGTAAGTGTATGGGTTGAACCCAAGAAACCGAGAAACCGCCCAAACCGATATCAGAAACCAATAAACCGAACCGACCAAAAACCGATCCTATTGGATTCTGAAAACCAGAAATCGATCATTTACGGGTTGGGTTGGGTTGGGTTGGGGTCCAAAAACGACCCATGCACAACCCTACTAATTACCAAAGTATCTAAAGGCTTCAAGTCTCATTCTCATAGACTTAGTGACTACAATGTCGTATGACAAAAGCATAGGGATGAATTTAGAAGTAGCTAAATCTCAAGATGTTACAATATTCAATGTATAATTCGAAATATCTATTTAACAATATGATTTGTTAAAAATAATATAGAAATCGTAATTACATATTTAAAAAATCATCTATATAATTTATAATAAAGATAAAAAATTAATTATTTAATAACAGTACTTATGAGTAAAGTATAAGATTAAAGTTATAACATTCACGTTATATATATATATATATATAATATATATATATATATATATATATATATATATATATATATATATATATATATATATATATATATATATATATATATAATAGATTGAAGGGTTTTTTTGCTAAATGTTCTCTTGTCCTTTATTTGTACAAATGTTATTTTCTAAAAAATTTAAATTTTTTATTTTTCACTTGTTATTTTATTGTATTTTTCATTTTATTAAATTAAAATTCCAAATTTAATGTGTAAGGTAATATATATGTAAACTATTTATTAGAAAGGGTTTATATATGTAATGTATTCAATACATTAAAATCTTATTAATTTTAATAATTCAAATTTTTTCTTATAAATTCAAACTTTTCAAATTGTTAAAATGTCATATTTTTTTTTTAATTAAATTCATATAATACATGTCTCACACCTATTCTCTCTCTCTCTCTCTCTCTCTATATATATATATATATATATATATATATATATATATATATATATATATATATATATATATATATATATATATATATATATATATATATATATATAAAAGGTTATAAAAGTGATGGCACCCAATCAAAACTAGCATATTTCTACCATATAATATCAAACTGAACTATCTGTATAACACCTATCATAAACAGACCAACTTTAAAAATAAAAATAAAAAACCTCCCATATAAAAGCCACCTCCTTTAGATTTGGAGGAAAGTGAAAGAGGATATGATAATGTGGAATTTTGTTGATTTTGATGAATTTTAAAGATGACACGTTCACAAGATTTTGGCTTCTTTTTTGTTTTAAGGGGTTTGTTTCACAAGATTCTGGGTCCTTTAGCCCCACACTTTTCTGGTATAGACAATTTGTATATTTGTTCCGTCGACATGAAAATACCCAACAAAATACATGCATTTAACGACACGTAAGCTAACAAAAAAATAGATATTTTCTGCATTTTATATATAGTAGTCACTAAGTTCCTATTCTCTTGTCATGCTTAAAACAAAAACCAACTTCCCGACAATGCATCCCATATGACCATGTTTCATGCCATGCACGACTCTCTCTCCCTTTTTCTCTCTCAAATATGCTCGATTAATTAGTTGAAACATTATTTGTGATTAGTTTTACAAATGATTTATGTCCGAGCAATATGAGGGTGTTAGTAGAGATCTTGATGGGAAAGCTCTTCTACATTCAAGTTGGCAATAACGCCACCGTGCTAGACCTAAAGAAAGAGATCGGAGCTCAAGAAAAACTTCCCGTTGATCGGCTCATTCTGCTTATGTATGAAAAGTTAATGAATGAAAATGAATCTTCGCTTGTTGATTATGGTGTTGAAGATGGTTCTCATTTGTATCTTTTTTTCGATACCCTAAAGGATGGTTTGACTCATCAGTCCCCATTAACCACTTCTGAGTCGGTGAATTAGCTTTTAACGCAATAGTTTTAGCTTCTCTTTGTTGTTTTGTATATCTGATCTAGATAATAGTATTAATTTAAAGGTCACGTGCGTTTACAAATATGTGAATGTAGTTTGTATACGTAGGCTATTTCGATCGGTAATTCTGATTTATGAATATCGTTGCAACCTTGAGGAAAAGGAACGAATTATAATCGGCTTATTTGGATTTCGATTAAAACTGACCAAAAAAGATCTCTCTGAAACGACAGTATATATTCCCAATGTAGCTATGATGGCTCGTATTAATATCGTTGCAACCTTGAGGAAAAGGAACGAATTATAATCTTGTTTTAAGTATTTGGTTCATGGTTGTTTTGAGACTCGTATTAATATGATAAGCATTTTTCTTAATTGGTTGTTTTGTTTTAAGTTCCTAAACAAAATTTTGCAGCTATTCTAGAAAAAAGGAAAGAAAAAGTAGAATAAAAAAAAACTGTCTTGAGATAAAAATTCATTATATGCGATAAACATACAACTAACAAATGGTAGCCAGTTTTGTGGATTCATTTGTTGATGCACGCTTCTCGTAAATCCCATCATATGTGAAGGATGAACGGCCGATGTAGTTCCTGTTTAGTAATGTGATAAATTTTTGAATGAATTCGAAATAATAATCTTTTCATTGCATTAAAAATATGTGTAATACCAAGTATTACCAAGATATATTCATAATATTGTTGTAGTCTAAATAACGAAAATTACCCACGACTAATAGTCCCTTTGAATACGTAAAGATAATCACCATTTTCAACTCCATGCCAGCGGAGGCTACAATTTTCACGCATGATCCTCTGTTTATGAATAAATATGTAGTCGTCGGTTGGTAGTAATTTCCTGGACAATAGTAATTCCCTTAATTCATTCACCGTGCTCGAGTCCTTCATTTCTAATGGGATACAGGTCGAGTCAAGGAGAGCCGAGGAAGTTTGAACAACAAAGTCAAGCTTACGAGAAGGAGGCTCAGCCACTAATCGACTCATGGTCTTCAGAAATACAACGATTTCAGAGAATTCAACAACACCATAGTCACTCAAATTGCGAAAGTCCTCTTCCATCTCCACTCCTGAAAAGAAAAGTGTCATTTGCTTAATTGGCGTCCCATCGATAATATGAATCTTTTCTTTTAGACTTCCTACAGTTTCTGTTCTATCAACCTCTATGTTGTGCTTTCTCGATGAAAACTTAACTATAATTTGGATTTGTCTACGGTTTTCTAAAGATAGCATATGATTGATCGTGAGATCAATTTGTGTACCTTCATTAACGATTGGATAATCCTCTAGGTCAAGCCCGTCGAGTAGTTCCCAATCACATACACTAAGAGTTTGTGAAGATATAGGAACACCAAGAAAATGTTCAATTTTCCTCTTGATTTCGAGAATGGGTTCTTGCATACCAACTTCGATGGTCAATGCATATGCTCGAGCTAAAATTTGGATTTTCATATCTAATAACTTGTTGAAGGAACGCGATAGTGTCTACTTTTGTTTATGGTTAGATCATGAATGGAGGGATAAGAATATGTTTTAACTCAAGCGTTCTTGAGGCTTGATTTCAAGCCCAAATTCATGTTATAAGTATGAATGTGGTCATCTCTATGTGATTTCAATGCACACTTTTCATGGATTCACAATCATTTTATGCAAATTTCATTTGGTCTCTCTCTCTCTCAAATGATATATATATATATATATATATATATATATATATATATATATATATATATATATATATATATATATGGTTAGGTTATTTTGTTTCTAGTAACTATTGTGTGTAAGAATGCAGAGATCTGGACCATTTGATGGAATATAATCAAAGATCGTGATCTAATGGTCTATGATAGTAGAATAGGATAATATGTACTATATAATCACACAAATTTGAGCATAAGGGCATTTTAGTCAATTAACCTATGTTAAAAAATGAAATTTTCGGATTTTTAGGGATAATTAATTCTTTTATTTTTAAAATCTGAATAGTTTAAATTAATTTAAAATTAAAAATCCGATTTTATTCTATCAAAATGATAGAATGTTAATCATAAACTAGTAAATATATTTTTCGATTTTATTCTGTCAGAATGACAGAATGTCAACCATAAACTAGTAAATACATTCTGAAAGAATATACAAAATCGATTCTTAAACTAATAATATACTAAATAATTACATTGTATGATTGTGATTCATTGAATAATAACAAACATTCTGAAAGAATAACAAGTATAATTCTTAAAACATAACAACATTTTTAAACAATGTGTGTGATCATTCTTTAATTTATTCTTCAAGTCTTTCCCATCAGGTCTTCAAGTCATTCTTCAAGCCATTTCAATCAGAAAATCATTGTCAAGTAATTTGTAGTGATACACTTGTAACAACTGCGTATTAAACATATAAATAATTAACTACAATACTATCAGAATACAACAATAATATTCTTACAGAATAAACTATTCTTGCAGAATGGTTTTGAATATTCTTAAAGAATTTGTATTATCAAGAATATACAACTGTAGTTAAAATTGTTGGATTAGTGTCTAAGTCCATAACTATTTTGGTATGTACTTGACCCGATGGTGCATGGTCCTTTTAGGTTGCCTTCACCAAAGCAACTCGATAGGATGAATTATGGAGAGAAATGATTAAATATGATTTATTAATGTATTATAAGAATAATATATTAAAGGAGAAATCATATTGTTTAATTAATATTAGTCAATAATTAATTGATAATTAGTTTTGTGACTAAAAGAGATTAATTAAACTTAAGGGACTGGAATTGTAATTATAAGATAATTGCAATTGGGCCATGGATTGCCTTATATTATAAGGTGGACGAATTCGATGGGGAAGCCCATATGAAATCGTCCAAGGCCTTGAGGAAAGGGCTCCATGGGTTGCTTAGGGCTTAAGCATCCAAATTAGGGTTTCCTTGTTAGATAACTCTAATAGCCTTACTATATATAAGACCCTTATGACCCAAAAACGTGGGGAAGACTTCTCTAGGGTTTGTAGACGGTTTTAGGAAACCTCCATCCTCTCTCCTCTTCATCCTCTTTCTTATGGTGTTTGTGAACCATTAGAGGAGTAACATTTGTGACTCTAAGCTTTCTAAAGTCAATACAAGGAGATTTGGGATTGTTATTGCTACATAACAATCAAGGTAACATCTTAAACCTATTCTTATGTTAATATGATTACTTGAATGCTAGAATTAGGGTTTATAGTCTTGGATAACTTGCATGTACAATAGAGAAACCTAGATCCAAGCATTAGGGTTTGTATGAGCACATATGATGTTCTTAGGACCAAAAACCATCAGTGGTATCAGAGCCTAGACTGGTTTCTATTGTATTGATGCATTATATGTTTGAAAAATTCGATTTTTGGTGTTTTGGAGGCTGGACTCGCCGAGTCCATAGCTGAACTTGCCGAGTCCAAGCTTGACTCGACGAGTCAACTCGTCAGATGGAGCATATCTCGGGATTTCTTGCTGTTTTTGCTTTGGGATAGTTACCTTATCATATTAGATCAATATAAATCCAATTTTATGATATATTTCACTATATTCCTGACCTAATTGAAGATATTTATCAATTAATAAGATAATTGTTTCCTTATGTGATAATTGATTGATTATTTTGATTAAATTGATAAATTGTTTTGCAAGAAACCATTAAATAAATCAAATATGGATAATTATGTCATTAAATGTTAATTTTAGATTATTTGTTATTTGATACTTGTTGTTATGAAAATTTTCATATTTTCCCCTTAGGTTTTATAGTTTGAATTTGAACCCAAAAGTTTTATTGTTTTGAAATTTAAATAGTTGAAACCCTATTGTTTTGAAAAAAATGTTTCAAAACTTGCCCTCAAGTTTTGGAATTTAAATTTTTATTAATAGTTTAATTTTGATGTATATTTAAATTTTAAACCCTAATGTTTTGAAATGTTTCAAAACTTGCCCTCAAGTTTTGGAATTTAAAAGTTGATTAAAGGTTTAATTATGAATGTTAAATTCTAAAACCCTAGTAATGTTTTGAAAAAGGTTCAAATCACACCCTTGTGGTTTTATTAATTAATTAAGGTGTATAATTAAAAGAGGTTTAATAAATCCATAAAAGTTTAGGTTTACAATTTAATTGAATTAAAAGTATAATTGTTAAACTTGACCACCTAGTATTTTAAAAGTATAAAATACACCTTATACTATATATATAACATTAAAAGTCTAACATTATATATATGTATGAGTAAAAGTCAGTCTTACCGTTTGTAGGCCTCATTCACGAAGCTGGTCTATAAGGGGTGTTTAAGGAAATTTCCTATAATATAACGATTGAATGGGTATCCATTCTTACCCACCGCACTCTTGACTAGTGGAGGGTCGTTAGCCGAACGGGTAAGATAGGACGAAACCTTCCATTATAAGTATAATGAAATACAAAGTAACTAAAGTTTTTCAAATTCCCAATCTTAGTTACTTAGGCAAAAGTGAATTGATGCAATTCCATGAAATTACACTTTATGCCCTTGCGAAGACGTTAGTGGAGCGTGTGTGGTTTACCGGCACACTAAATGGTTCTAAGCAAAGGTAGCAAAGGGTTACTCAATGTTTGTCATAGTTCGGTGGAGCGTGTGTGGTTTATCGGCACATCGAATAGGTGACTGTAACATGTGAGGGCACCATGTAAGTTTGCATGGTTATTCACACCCTCTTTGTGATCCTCGACATCCCAGTCACAAACAAGAGGGGCATATCGAGATTTAAACATGCCATTGAAATGTTCAATGAATCTCAAAGGATCTAGGAGTTTTCATAGATTTAAAACTTAAAATTTCTTTTTCGTTTTTGATGGTAGAAAATTAGTGAATCGTCATTCACTTACCTTCGAATGTTCTGCAATTAGGGTTACGGCATCCCTCTCCCGAGTTGTAGAATATTGTGTTGGGTCCTAG